TTTATTTGTAATGGTTTGTAAAAGGAGAAATAAATGTTTAAAAAAAAGTAATGGTTTTCTTTATTATTTATGGATTTATAACATAATGACTAGAGGAACATTAAAATAATTTAATTTTGTTCTTTAATCAAATAATAGGAAATAAATTTGTAATTTGGGTTTATAGGTACTGATATAATGCAATATGGCTGAATGCACAATATATACAAATGTTATTTTCTTTTTCCAACCCCTCATAAGTGAAATACATTGCATTAACACCCCTAAGGAAATTTTCATTCTGTAAAAAGCTATATATAAACACATACATGGATAAAATTTGAATATTCATTGGAATCTAAATAATTTCAGTAGGCTCCATTTGGTTCATGTGTTTAGAAACGAGGAAAACGAAACACGCAAAAGCAAAATGAAAATAAATAATTTGAAAGTTTCATGTATGTTTATCAATGTTTTGAAAACCGGACCGGTCATTGAATAAATAGAGGAGATATATGGGGGCAACTAAAACAAATTCCAAATTTTTCTCACTTCAGTACCTCCAAGTTTAAAACCATTTTTTTATAGAAGTTTTTACAACTTTTTCTTAGTTTAAAACCATAAATAAAAAAAAATTATTAGCAAAGTACAAAAACGCCCTTCATCAAACAAAATACAATTTATACAAACAAATTGTTTATTCCTCATTTCAATACCAAGGAAAAAAAAAAAAAAAAACAAATCCTCTCTTCTTCTCCCCAAACTCAAATCCCTTAAACCCTATCTTCTTCATCTTCTTAAATCCTCCAAAACATCTCCAAATTCAAAAAAATCAAAACATCACAAAACTTTTAAAATGGAGTTATAAGACAATAATATGATAGTATATATGGAAAGAGAACCCATTAAGGTATGTATCCATGTTTTTTTTGAGCTTCGAAGTCGATTTTGAAGTTTTTTTTTTTTGAAACCCGCCGGCAATTTTCCACACATACAGGTCGATTTTTTGGTCAATTTTCGACACCAACGTGTCGAAAAATATATTTAGAAAAAAAAAACAAATTTCGACACATACCCTGTCGAAATTGGGAGAAATTTCGACAGGTA